TATGGAGGACCTGCGCGTAAAGAAGAACAGAAGGAAGATGGCCGCCGCAGCGGATGGTGGGGGTAGGAACATAACAAAACCTCATTTGTTTAGCAGTCGACGCGTTCAGAAACTGACGCTATTTTGGTGGACCCTTGTCTCTAAATTATCACAAAATTAATATTTGACACGTAAACAACATTTATTATTAAATTTATAATATGTTTGGTGCTATAATACGTTCACACTTCGAAATAGCGCCACGGCACTTCTGCTAAACAAATGAGGTTTTGTTATGTTCCTACCCCCACCACCCGCCGGGGCGGCCATCTTCCTTCTGTTCTTCTTTACGCGCAGGTCCTCCATGGGAGCCAGCGTACGTACTACAATAAAGTGCCCGACTTGATCACTTGCATATATGCGGTCGTGGCCGCCTCAGCTCAGCTGACTAACGCCCTTCCCGGCCCTTGCCCGTACCGTGTAAGTGACATGAATGGGACTGACCGCTGCCCTCGCTTCGATCGCTCACGCACCGCTCCTCCGACGGGGGGCTCCGGGGCGTGCGTGACTCCCTCCGGACGCGGATGGCGCAGAAGCGCGCGGACACGACGCCCGGGACTCCGGCCCCCGGGACTCGCGGGGCTCCGGGGCGGCGTTGTCTCCGCGGAGGGCGCGGGCTGAGCGCGCTCCGCCGCCGGCTACGCACGGAGAGGTCGGGTGGACCTGGCGGGGGCAGCGGACGCGACCGGACCGATGACCTTACGGCTAGGGGTGACCCGGGGTCACCCGGGTTGACCCCGTAGCCATAGAGCCTGCTTCCTGCCGCCAGCCGCACCGGCGCGGCCCGACTTCCTTCTTAGGCAAGGTTCCATTCGCGCTCGCCGGTCTCCGTTCCGGGACTTACGTAACGCCGCAGCTAGGACCGCCGTGAGGCCAGGAAGGACGCGCCGCCAGGGTTGGGCGAGGTTAGGCGCCCCGCAAGTTGGGTGCGCCGCCAGCACCACCTACCCGGGGCGCCGGCGGGGACCTTCATCTTCAACGAGGGCTAGGACGTCGGCACCTATGCCTAAGGTCGGCTCACATGAACTTAGATCACCCAACTTAGGAGGGGCGTCAGTCGGCGGGCGCGGACCATCCCCTAGTGCTGAACATGTCCGTGGTTTCGCGGTGGTCCTGTTCTG